TGAACAAAACCGTGCCCTGACCAGGAGATCTGCTCCCTTACCTGGTTCCACGATGGCCCCTGGATGTGTGGGCTCTTGGGATGCCCCAGGGCAGACCTTGCCCACAACCAGCTGGCAGGTGCAGTGAGGCTGGGGAGGCCACAGCCCCTCATCCTCCTTGTGCACCGGGACCCCAGCTGTGGATCTCCACACCCCTCAGCCACATCCTGTTATCTGACTCCAAAAGCAGTACCCCAGTTGGGTTGGCCCGTGGCCGAGTGGTTGGGTTCGCGTGCCTCCGCTGCAGGCGGCCCAGTTGTTTCGTTGGTGAATCCTGGCCGAGGACATGACACTGCTCATCAAACCACGCTGAGCAGCGTCCCACATGCCACAACTAGAAGGACCCACAACAAAGAATATACAACTATGTACCGGGGGCTTTGGGGAGAAAAAGGAAAAAATAAAATCTTAAAAAAAAAAAAAAAAAAAAAAAGCAGCACCCCAGCTCCAGGAGGTAGCTGGCAGGTTGGGTCCTCGGGGTGGGACGTGAGTGTGCACGAGGCACACCCCCTTTCCCCATCGCCCTCTGTGTGGAGCAGGAAGGGGACAGCCAAGGGACGGTAGGGCTGGGGGAGGAAACACTGCCAGACCCACCCCTCTGGGTCTGAGAGGGACTTACTCTGAGTGGGGAGGGACCTGGGGGGGTCTCCTGCCGACGGACAGCCAAGACCCCACTCAGGCGACCCCGACCCAGGCCCGGCAGACAGGCCAGTCAGACCTTCCCGCATCTGACAAACCCTCTGTCAGCACGTCCAACCCTGAGCCTCTCGGTCCCACCTCCACCACCTGGAGCACATCTCCTGTGTCCTCCTCACCTAGTGGGCCTGCTTTCCCACGTTTCCTGGCGCCTCCTCAGGGCGAGTGCCTCATCTCTCACTGTCCTGCCTGGTTTCCATCCCGACTTCCAGGCTAGAGCATGTAAGCTGCCCGGCAGGAGGGCTGGGGACACCCACTCGCCAGGTGGAGGGTGAGGGCCATCACTCCGTGCAGGAAATGTGGCCTCCTCTGCCCCAGGACTGATCTGGGAGATGCCCACAGGAAGCAGGGCAGTGCCAGTGGAGCCTGGAGGCCAGGGATCAGTGATCTCCTCCCAGAACGTGAGAGTGGCAGCCACAGGACCTGACCAGCAGAGGGTCCTAGAGACATTCATAGACTGTGTCCTGGGGGTGAAATAGAAGGACAGACAACAGGATGCCCCTCAGCCTCCCCCAGCCGAGGAAGCAAGGATGGCAGACCAGGAAACTGATGCAAGAGCTCAATACAACTTGTTACCCTGGGCCTCTTGGTGAACTGGTCTTCAGACTGACCCACAACTGAATGAGGGTAGAGCCCTCAGGGGGAAGACGCTGTCACATCACGGCTGTGTGCAAAGGCCATCCCTCGGGCTGCCCTCAGAGGAGCACATGGCTGGTCCTTGGTGATGGACCCTGAGGAGAAGGGCATCAAGACATGGTAGGAGTGTTGGACTCAGGGCCCAGGTCATCATCTCGACAGGCAAAGCATCATCCTGGCCCCTCTTTCACGTGGGGCACATGGGGCCAAGGAATCGGGGCCCCAGGCACAATCAAACTCTCAGGGGGGCCTTGCCCTCGCAGCAGGCATTCCCACTCCCTGAATGGGAACTGGAGTAGAAATAAATGGTAGTTGCACATCCTCACATTGGGTCAATCTCCCCTTTCTAAACCAGTCTTACAGCTGGACCTGCCCTTGTGGTTCTTACTATGATTGCAAGAGGCCCTTCAGCAATAAGCCTCAGGAAACATGTGGAAGAAAAAAACAGTTTATTACTTACAAGTCCTGGAGTCTACAAGGCACACCCAGGGCCATGCAACAAGGTCATGGGTAGAGAGAGAGAGAGATCCACTGGGGTTGAGGGTCCAGACCAGCCTCCCGGTGCCCCAACTGGCTCGCACACCACCCAGAGTCTGGGTCTCTTGCCCTGGGGCCTCCTCCAGGTTTCCAGGTTTGATCACTTCAGCCCCTTCCCTTGGTTCCCCTCAAGGGT